ATGATTATATTCTTGAAACTGTTAAGAACTGCATTAACATATGAGACTTATTATTATCAGTTTCCTAACACTATTAGGGCTTGAAGTTCTAAATCACTTAGTCAGGATCCCTTTGCCTGCCTAGTAAGGGTACATTGCAGTAATTAAATTATCAGCATTTTGTTGGTTGGGCTTTTTCCATTCTACTTGTGGTTGATGACATATACAGCAGAATTCAGTGCTTCTCAATTTAATAAATTAACTTACATTTAATTAGTTGAGTTGTCTAGCAAAGTGCAAGTTAAAAGTAACATTTGCAAACAGAATTACATGCTGATGAGATCCCTATAAAACTCAATGAATACCAGGACAGAAAACAAGTGTTTAAATCGTCAGTCTCTAAAGTTTTGTTTTTTCTTTTTGGACAAAGTATAATGATTTATCCAATAGTGGTGTGTATCTTTTTCATTAAATTACCTTTAATAAGCAGGCTGCCTGCTTGTCTTGTCAGATTTTCAGGATGTGCCTGATGCCTTTCAGCTAGAGGAAGATTTTTTTTTTTAATCTCTTTTTCTTCAAAAGATGTGGTGAGCTGTTGAGTAGGTGTTTTGAAAGAACCTTGACTGACTGACAGCCTGCAGTTAACTTATCATCCCAAGATGATGCCCTCTCATAAAAATATACATTTGATCAGCTGCTCCTTTGCAGGTGTCTAATAAATGGATACTGTCTTCTCCTCTGGCAGAAGTCAGGAAAGGGGTGACTAACTTCCCATCACAGAATCACCTTGGTTGGAAAAGACTTTCAAGATCACTGAGTTAGACCATCAACCTAACATTGACAAGTCCTTAACTAAACCATATTCCTAGGTACTATGACTCTATGACTCTTAAATACCTTCAGGGATGGTTACTCCACCGCTGCCCTGAGCAGCCTATTATTCTAACACCTGATAACCCTTCTGGTGAAGAAATTCTTCCTAACATCTAAACCATCTCTGGTGCAACTTGAGGCCTTTACCTTTTATCCTGTTGCTTGTAACTTCATTGAACAGACCAATTTCCACCTCCTTACAACTTCCTTTCAGGCAGCTGTAGAGAGTGATAAGGTCTCCCCTCAGCCTACTTTTCTTCAGGCTAAACAACCCCAGCTTCCTCAGCCTTAAGACATACACTCCAGACCCTTCT